TCCACATATATATATATATATATATATATATACAGACAGGCACACGACACACAAACAAACGAACTCAAGAGCCCTACGTCCAAAATAACGGGGGCTTCGCCACGAACTCACCAAACGGGAGTCCGCAAAGCCTCCTGCAAGCGACGCTTCCCTTCCCCTCCGTGTGGAGAGGGCTAGTCGTCGCCGTCATGGCAGTTGGGGGGGTTACGACGGGAGGGCCGAAGCAAAACAAAAAGAGCTGCACCCGCCGCCCCTCCACCAACGACAAGTTTGGAGACAAGAAGAAAATTAAGTTGAGCATAAATAAACAGGGGCGGGGAGTTAAACACACTGCGGCATCGACACCCCAAGCCCCATTCTGGCCCCGAATTCTTCCAAGAGACGTCGGCGGCTAAATAAATAAATAACAATAATAAAACACCTTAGCAGCCCCACGACCCACCCTCCCTTCACAGGCACCCCACGCAAAGGACGTACGGCATCGTTATAGCGGCAAAAAGCAAACAAACGCAATGTGACGCGTCAAGGATGATGATGCAAGCAAAAGACGAACTAAATACAAAGGAATCTCCTTGTGCAAAACATTCACCTACCACTTCCATACGTTATATTCGTTAGTTCTCCCCCGAGACTGTCAGCACCAGGCAAAGTGATAAGGGCAGGGCAAAGAAACTTTACACCTGATTCAAAACCCTTTTCACCTCCCAGAACCTCACTCGTCCGCGAAGACACAAAGAAACAAGGAATTCATTGCGACCAGCTCCGCAGGCGATGCAGCGAATGGTTTGGCCCGAGTGCAGCATCACAGCATAGGATGGCTCATCCGAGATGAAATCGTCTGACCGCTGCAAGGGAGCACACACACCACTTGCGTCCTGAGAAACGCATCCAGAAAAACGCTCCTGAATAAATGGTTCAAGTCCAAGAAGCGGGGTGGGGGCGAGGCCTTCAGCAGAAGGAGCTGCACCAGCACAGCAGAGAGGCCAAAAGGAGCTGCAGCCGTCATACGAGGTGGCAACCAGTAGGTGACCTCTTTCCGGAAGTGGTAGGGCGCAGAGGTCGTTCACCCACGAACGATGGAAACATCGCCGCGCAACAAGTACAACCCCATCCCTCACAGCCCGAGAAGGTGCGGAAAAGGATTGTGGCTGCAGAAGAGGCGACTGTGCCTCTGTGTCCTCCATTAAAAACGGATTTGAAGCCCGGGTTGGTAGGCTGCTACTTGTTTTGTTCCCTCCGCTGATGTGTGAGAGATGGTACACCGTGATGGAGTCATCCTCGTTTGTGACGACAAGGAGGTCTGGGTGGAGGGCGGCGTCGGCGTGACTGGGGACCCACTGCACCGCCAAAAAGCATCCAACGGAGTGATTTTCAAGTGCAGTGATGTGGCCCACCTCAGATTCCATGTCCAGTGCCTTGACGAGGCGCAGTATTCCACCGTCACAGGAGACCGCCACCATGCCGCTATCCTCATCCACGAGAAGAGTCTCCGCAGCCACACACGTCACACTCGCAGGGAAAGAGCCCTTCTGTCGCGCCGGTGGTGATGCCCAAACGGATGAAGGTGCCGCTGTATCTTCAAGCCATAGTCGCTTAAGAAAGTGTGGCACCTGCATAGCCATTGCCTGCACAGGTCTCTGTCCAAATAAAGAGATAAGTTTGCTTAGCCAGGCCCCCTCCAGTGTGACACACACTAGCAGCACGTGTCCACTGATAAACCCCACTGCAAACACAGAAGCTAGGCATCCGCATCCCTCTTTACTCGCAAATGGAGCCGTCAAACTACTCCGCTTCCTACTCAACCCCGCACGCTCAATTGTTAGGTCCAAGCATTTTTCCAGACCACACTCCACTTCCGTGATGCATGTGACTAGACCACTTACCACCTGCTTGGGCGTCACACGTGCGGAATCCCCGCTGTCTCCACCACTCACCCCGCCTGAGAAATTAAGACGCTGCACAACTTTTCCCTCAAGCATGCTAAAGAGAAGCAAATCCCCACCTTGGTTGCCAATCAGTATAAACGGCTCTACCGCAATACACTGCGTTGTGACACCCATCGCGGCATTCATCTCTTTCTTCATTGCCCGCTCTGCTTGACCTCGCTCAAACGACAGCCCTACTCCCTTTTTTGCCCCCTGTCTCATGGGAATTGCAGGCTTGTAAAAGGTAAAGCTCCTATTTGATTGCTTTTGCCCGCCTTTGCGCAATGTCTCCTGCTCCCTGTCGGTGGGGAATCCAGGCTCCATGTCCATGTACGTCTCACCCACAGTTGTACAAAGAAGAAATGGGCAATGAGCAGTGATCCTCCGTGGCGTTAATGAGGCCACAAGCGTCTGTAACGGAACCACCTCTAGCAAATTTCCTCCTTGGTGTCTGACGGCGTATGTAGTGAGTTGATTAAAGCTGCTGGCTGTGACTAGCGTCAGCTGTACCGGGGTACCCTCCACGGGAGGGTCCTCAAGAGGTGAGGACGGAGGCGAAGGCTCCACCAGAGTGTTGATTGCCGTCTTTTGTTCTTCATCTTGTGGATTTGTGCCGGTGGTACTTGGGGCAACACCAGCAGGGACGCTCTTCGCGCGGGATGCAGAGGAGGCTGTTAAAACGGTTTGCGGAGAACCTAACAGTAATTCACTCATTCGCGATGAGGTCTGCACGTCGTGGATTCCGTCAGGAAATTGTTGAAGATGCTTCAAAGAAGCTGCTGGAATTCCTCTAGGGGGAAGAGAGCAAGGCAGCGTCTTTGGACTAGGCAGAGAGAACAAGTTCGGTGAAAGACTCGATGCCGCTGTCGCCGCTGTCGCCGTTGTCGTCGCGGCATGTGCGTGAAAGAGATGGGAGCTACGCTTCCACTTCACACGCAAGAGTGGACGACACGCGTCGCTGATGCCAATAGAGGCACAGGACGGGATGGCTGCAGAGGCGTTCATTGCGTTGTTACGGCTCCGCGGAGTGGGTAGGTCAACGACAAGGGTCTCATCTGGAGGCAACGTGAGACTGTACAGCGAGGGATTCCGCAGCTCCACAAAGGCCCCATAGATGCTCATATGGGGAGAGTTGGTGCTGGCCACCGTTGGGTATCCACTTGACTTGTAGGCTACTGAAAGCGCATTCACCAGCGACACCTTCGCGTTAAACTCCATCTCCGTCGGTGTCACTTCAGTTGCATCCAAACACGACGACGGAGAAAGGCACACCAGGCCTGCCATGCTAGGCGTGTCCCGACTTGTGCCGAGAGCAGCATTGGGGGTGTTCCCAAACTTCACTCGAAAGCAAGTCGCGTCCTGCCGTGAGAGGCCGCTGCCGGAAGCAGCGTCGACAGACAAGTCAGGCATACGCGTGTGACGGGCCTAATGTGTGTGCGGCGTATAATGCGCTCCCGGTGGTGTTCCTCTGCCACCTCGACCCTTCAGTGAACTTCCTCTCCTTTTCTTTTCTTGTTTTATTTTTTTCCTTCTGTGTTCCCGCCAGCCTACAACCCACCCACCACTTTTCCCTCCGTTCTCCCGAGATAGATGGCGTGAAACCTCCGCGAGCACACAGAGACAGACAGAGAGACAAAGAAAAAAAAGCAACTGCGAGGCCGTTCCGTGCGCCACATCACATTCACACAGAAAAAAAGGTAAAAAAAAAGGCAGCCGGCCAAATATCTCGCGCCGTCCGCGCCAAATGCACAAAAATAAAATAAAATAATTTTTTGTTTTAAAAAAAAAAGCGTTTTCTTTTCTTCATTTTGTCACCGTTTTTTGCCTAATAGCCTTTATCTCGTTTTGCGTTATCCCTCTTATGCCTTCCCAGGTTACCTTTTGAATGCGCAATTGCCTCCACTCGAACGTTTTATTCTCGTGGTGACTGTGGTGCCCCCTCCCACCATCCGCCCTTCCCACACAGAAAGAAAGATTTAACACAAAAACGAAGCTGAAACCTGCCTGACCCGCGCTGCGTCCGAATGGGGGGTGGGGGGGGGGGGGGGGAGGGGAGGGGGGGATAGGTGGAGAGGACGAACCACAATCAAAAGCTAGTTGAGGGAAGTAACCAACTCCTCAAAGGCATACAAAAAAAAAAAAAAAGAAGGCAAAGGAAGCAAACAAGTACCTTAACGGACGGATGTGATTCACCACCACTACCCCGCCCCTGGCACATGGCCTCCCCCTTTTCCTCAGATGAAGGAGGGTTGCAGCTGCCTCTCACTATCACGTTGCGGTGCGTACTAGCTTCCCCTCCCGCAGCTCTCCTCGTTTTTGTGCGTAGGAACAAAAACCATTCGTACTATCTCTGCTTTCACATTAGTTATTACTTTCATTTCATCTATGCAGCTGCTTACCTCGTTTTGGGCCACAACGCAAAAAAGCGGTGCGGTTAATAAAAAACAAAAAAATGTAAACAAGTAAACAAGTAAAAAAAGTAAAAAAAGTTCCAAGTGTCACTGGGCTGGTGTTAGATGCGCCAGTCGTAGCACCGAACTCTTACAGACCCTTGTAGTATGTGTACATCGCCACTGGGGAGCCGTCCTTGCGCTTCAGTCCCTGAAACGACGACTCCAGACGGGTGGCGGGGATGCTCACTATCGGGCTGAACGCACCGAGTGCCAATGGCACGCCCACGCCAAGACCCAAAATCTGCAACGCCGTCTCTGTACAGAGCGGAGACCCCCTGGCAAAGGCGTAGCGAGTGGTGAGCGGAGCCATCAGAAGCGTTGGGAGAAGCATTGAGGGAATGTTCCACACGACACGCGTCACCGAGCACTTCTTCAGACTGTCCATGCCGGCGGCAAGACTCTGCCCACGCACCTCGCCGTCCTCGTCCACAACCTTCAGTCCGGTGCCAGACGACATCCATTCGTTCTTCCGCATCAACGAGAGGTTCGCAATGGCGGCGGCGGACACGGCGCAGAACGGCACAGTCGCGCGGATGGCCGTCGCCTGAATGGTGCCACTCGGCACCCGCTTAAGCAGCGCTGTTGCCCCCAGTCCACCAGAAACGGAGATACCCACCGCCGCAAGGTATGCCTTCGCAAGTTCCCCAAGAGGCTGCTTGTCGGAGGAACGATTGGCGTAGTTGACCGCACTGTTATAGCTCTGGTTAAACCACTGAATAAAGATAGTCCGTGGGACACTGCTGACCGTACCAGGCGTCATCATAAAAGGGACAATAAAAGCGTTCATGGGGAGAAATGCGCAGAAACGGAACAGCGGGAAAAGGGTTTCGCCGGTGGTTGGGTGCACGCAATTCTCAATGGCGGTGCGTGCGCGCCAGAGGGTCTTGTCGTCCACATTCACCTTCTCCCCGGCAGCCACGCGGTCTAAAAGAAGCCGCTTCTGCAACAGTTGGCGCTCCGTCTGGAAGCAGAGCAGCGGGTTGATAGAGGAAAAGAAGTACAGGATGCGGCCCTTGTAGGTGTCCATGTCATACATGGGCTTCGTAAGCGAAAACGGTGGATAGCTGAACATTATTGTTGGTTGTTTATTTCTTGAAGAACCTCGGTGGCGGTTGTTATGACGCTTGCAATTAAGTGTCGAAAGGAGACTAAAACTTCCAAAAATAACTCTACTAGTCACAGCAAGAGAAGCAAAGAGGGGAAAAAATGAAGGAAATTCAGTGACGGCAAAGCAAACACGGCAGCCACAAAGGCCGACGACATTCCCCCCTCCCCCATGCACAAACAGAGAGAAAGAAGCGAATAATTGAAACCGTTGCCCGACTTCGCTTCAGATAAGCCGTCCTCGCTACGGCTGTCACCACCACATCCCTCCCCGCGGGGTGTGTCAGCCTCATCGGCATCGGCATCAGCGCCGTCAAGAACCATCTTTGTCACACCCAACTCCAAAAGCGAGTGCAGCTCGCCAGACGTGTGAGAGATCCCGCCACGGCCCCTCTGTCGGCACTGAGCGCATGAACGACTCGCCCTCCTGCACGCTATCCACAAAGTTCATGTAGACATGCTCAGTGCCGTCCGCGCCCTTCGTTGGAGCCCTTTGCGCCCGCGTCTCCTCTGCCGCCTGCTTCGTCGTCTGTGCTGATTGACGCTCCCGTTTGCGACTTTTCGCGGACACAAATGAAAACGTCGCGGCGTCCTGCAGCGGACATGTCATAAGTCGCACTGCGGTCGTCTCGGGGGCATCCCACCTCATTTTCTCCAGGATCCAACGCTCCAGGTGCCGCACCGCAACCTCGCCCCCCGCCAAAACAACGAGCGCATCGCACTGGCAGATCCACAGGACAAAGCCACGCAGCAGGCCATCGTTTGCAAAGTTCCGCAGCTTCCCCAGATGGGCCGGAGTAAAAATTGGAAAAATGCGGTAGGCTCTGAAAACGGGCTGCTCTTCGGCATGCCGTTTGAGGTCACGGTTGCGCTTTTCAATCTGCTGTGGAATGGCAGCCACGTGACGTTCGTAATTGCGGCGCTGGTGCTCAAAGAAGCGCTCCTGATACTGCGAAAAGATTTTGTTCTCCGTACTCAGTGGATTCATCACGCTTTCGTCGAAGAGGTTAAAGCGCAGGTTGCTGTTGGTGAGACGATCCTTCGCGGTGGTACCGAGAGAGGCAGCCGGGAGCACACCGGCTACGTTGGCAGCCTCGTGTGGTTGTTCCTGGCGAGCGGCTCGCCTGGCGCGATCACGCTCCTCCTTCGCCTTGCGTAGTCGCTCCCGGCGCTCCGCCCGCAACTCCTCTCGTGTTTTTACCACCTTCACCACGGCAGGTCGCTCCTCCACGCGGTGGTGGTAGTGCTGCGAGTAGTGTGTTTCGGGCAGAACGGGGTGATGCACACAGTCAAGCTTCCCCGGAGCCAGGTTTGCCAAGCTGTAGCGCGGCATGGAGAGTGCCCAGAGGTCCCACGGCTCCACGTCCGGGACCCCGTCCGCAAAAAATTGATCTAGAAGAGAATGTACTTGGTGCGGTGCGGTAGACCCAGCGCAGCAAAGGGCGCGTAGCTCTTTTTCGTATCGTTCACGTCGTGTCTGGTGCGACTCCTCCTCCTGCCGTGCCGCATCCTCGCGCCAGAAGGCATCCAGTAGCTCTTTATTTTTCTTCACATCCTCCGCGTCACCAGACGGGGCCGTGGAGTTAAACGCCGGTGAAACTGCAGGGGGGGCACCAAATCCAACACGACGGCGTGGCGCAGCGCGATGTGTGTAAGAGTTGAGTCTTGGATCAACTGCCTGCAGTGGAACGGGGGCATCGTCTTGCTGCTTCTGCGTCGCTTCCGCCACGGTGTGCTGCAGTAATGCGGAAGAAACTGTCGGCCTTGTTGGCGCTGTCTTTGCCACAGCAGAAAAGTCAATGTCTGCGTCGTCGTCAATGTTGATTGGCCGACGCTGCGGCCGCTTCGACGCCATGCCTAAACCTTAGCTATTCCCCCTTGACTCAACTGGAGAGCAAAAGATATATATATAAAGCCAGGCACACCGTTGTGAGAGGGAACATCAACCTTCACCCCACCGCCATGCAGCGAATAAATCAGGGGAGGAAGATATTAACAAAAACAAAAAAGATTACTTCGCTTCAGGGAATACGCCAGAAAATCAGGTGGGTGGTGCCGAGGTACCGCGACGAAGGCGATAATCAACACCCGCCGCCACCGGGGAGCAATTCCCCCCTCAGCTGCCGCAGGTAAAGCCACCACAACGGCGGCAGACAGCGGTAGCACGTAGTCAATCATGCTGTTCCACTCCTCCAACGCGAGGAGAGCGGCATCCAGTGAGAAGGAAGGAAAAAATAAGAAGTGGTCAAGCGCTGATCGCAGCCGACACAGCCAACGCCGGCATTCGGCCGTCGGAAGGCACTGCAATCGCCACCGTCACGCTCCATGTGGTCCGCCGCCGAAACAGGCAACGCCAACGGTGCCCCGTGAAAACCTCTGGGAGGCTCATTTTTGCGCGGTGCCATGACCCCCGTCTCCCTCCACTAGCGAGGGTCCCTCCGCCGTCAACTGAGCCTCGTTCTTCCACAGGCAAAAACTGGCGGGCGGCAGTTTCGCAGCCGCGCAAAGATCCTTGAGAGACGAAACGTCGGGCAAGCCGCCTCCGGCTGCCAAACAACCATGAGCGAAAGTGCCTGGAGGAAACCTCAATCTCGTGTCCAGAAATCCAAGAAGAAAAGGGCAACGGGGATGGCTCGCCCTGTGAAGGACGCGGAACCCGCCTTGATGCCAGTGACGCAGCTACCGCCCTCGCAATGCTTACACGCTCCTCAGCCATCAGCTGCCACTGAAGGCGCAACAGAGCCGAAATGATGTGCAACCCCACAGCTACGTCATCGGCGTCCGCTGCCAACGCAACCGCGGCCCAGGAGAAGACCCGTTGGTACTCCCGCCGTAGTTTGTCGATGTAATCCAGCTCTAGCGCGGTCCAAATTGCGTGGCCCTTCATCAGGCCCTTCTGCTGCTGCGCCCCTGAGCCCTGAAACTCCAGTAGGCGACTCCTATCCTCACCACTTGTGCCTGCATCACTCGGCAAGGATGGAAACATGTTCCGCTGCGATAACGCATGGAGCGCCTCGCTGAAGGCGCGAGGCAGCAGTATAAGAGGCGTCCCCCGCGCGCTACCTAAACAGCGGCACAAACAAGGGATCCTGTCGTTTGTGCCGTGCACACGTGGCAGCAACGACGTCTCCCGACCCATGTGAGCGAGCGCTGTTGCCACTACGCAGGAGAAGCGTCACAGCAGCGCGCGGCACCGGTGACGACAAGGTTAGAGAACCAAGAAGAATACCGTGCACCCGCCGTCCATGCAGCGCTCCCAACGTTGTCTTATGTGTCGTCTCCATCCAACCAAAGGGAGGTACGAGCGAGTGAACGCATCCCCCGTACCGCCTTGTGCGCCTCGCTGCCGCTGTCCGCATAAGCCCAGCCACGCAGGCTCGTCGCCGCCTCGCAGTTCAACGGCTCCACGTCACCGGCATCACTGCGGCCCCGACACTTAGCCCCACGCAGCTAATCCCCGAGTATCAGATCACCAAAGAGGTGCACCGGCATCATCGACAAGAAAAGGGCGTGTGACGCACCGCATTGGGTCTTGTACACGTAGCCCACCACCACTGTGAGTCGCGGCAGCAGCCGCAGCCCATCACCACCCCTCACGTCCCCGGCCATTTTGTTACTGCTGCCACCTGTGTGTGTGTGTGTGTGTGTAAGCCGCGCGGTGAGTTCGTGCAGCATCGCGTTCAGCGTGAGATGCATCTTCTACTCGGAAAGAAATCGGTACGACTCATCGGCAACGCCACACAACTGACGTGCGTGGGCTTCTTGCATCACCGCAAAAAGCGGCGGCGGTGGACACAAGAATGTTCACACACGTCGGCTGCTCATTGAGAAAAGCTTCCATAGACGCCTCTGCAGCCTCAGCCTAGATACGCTCATCGAAGCCGCGCAACCCACCTTCATATCTGTTTGTGTGATACGTCTTCCCTCGCGTCCCCCGCCTCGTCGCCGCCGTGCCCTGCTCGTTGAGGATGTCCAGCAGCAACATTGGGCCCCCGTGCCACGCGGCAGCACGCTCCAGCCACCTTCACTCTCCACCAGTTCAAGTTCAAGAGCAATAAGCAACGCACACGACATTCGAGCGAACAAAGTCATCTCAGCCAGGGACATCAAACGCCGCAGCCAGCGTTTCAGCCAACTCCACCGAGCCAGACCTGTGGCCATAAAGGGCAGGTGAAGTTTGGTGCTCGTAACGTATCGATGTATCCACGAAGCACGACGACGGCTTCCACACGGGTCACGCAAACTACACTCGAGTGTCCACATTATTGCGAGAAGCACCTCATTTTTTGTCCATGGGCAGAGGAGGAGTGGAGAGTTGTACTGCACATCAGCGGTAACCTCCGGCTGAGACCCAATCGCACTTACAAAGACAGTGAAGCCCATGGCAGGATGGGACCATCAAAGCAGAGGATTCAACGCCTGGTGCAAGTATCCTGTGATGGATGAACTCCAGACTGTGCTTCAGAAGGTGGCAATGATGATGTAAAAAGAAGGGCATTAACCACAGTAACAAGTGGAGCCGTGATGCCTATTGCCGCTGTGGAAGTAATGAGGAAGCAGACTGTTGTGGTCCGACGTTGTTTACTACAATGTTCCTTTAGCAACACGTCTTCGTTGTACACCGTTGCAGGATGTGGTCGAAAAGTTGCCCTGTCACAAACCTCACCGCAGCAACTTCCTCGGGTGTCGGTGAAGGAAGCAGCGGCGCTGTCGTGTCCACCGAAACTGGTGTTATAACGTGTGGTTTATTGCTCGTGCCTATGAACATCCCCACCTCGCAGCACGACACCGCAGCAACACCATCGGAAGGGATAGACAAACAACAGCGGCGTCTTCCGCCACTGTAGTGTCTCTGATAATGAACAAACTCGCATATTCAGAATCCGCCATCAGCCAGACAGATACAGAAGCACATACAGCCGCCGCCTCGGTTTTCTTGTCCTCTTTCCCCCGGCCCCTTGCAATGACAACAGAGAAAAAAATAATAATAATAAATGGATCCGTCCACACCACAGATGCACACGCACCACAGTGACGCCTAGGACCACTCAGGAACCCGCGTTGGCAAAGGCCAGGCCTCGATGCAGGCCACACAGTATTGCTTATCAAGTGCACGGGACACAGTTGCGTGCGAATCACCACGCTTCTTCTTGAGCGTTGCTCGTACCTGTTCTCCCAGATGTTTTTTTTTGTTGTGTAAGTGTGTTTTTTTTGTTTTTCATTTTTTTTTCTGTTTTTAGTGTCTCACCCCTTTGGATTTGGTGGGTCTTCTTCTCTTCTGTCCGCGGCTCGCTGCTGCCAACTTAGTCACCTTTAAACGCACACACACACACACATACACACACGTACACACACGTACCTCGTCTCCTTCCTCTCCATGCGTCACTGCCCCCAGTGGGAGCAGTTCACTTTGAGGGGCAATGCCGAGAGAGGTGGGCATCCGAGCCGCAGTATTTGCACTGATCCTTTGACCTGCGCAACGCTGTGGGCCGCTGCTGCTGCTGCTGCTGCATCGTCGCTTTAGGGGGCTCCTGACGCCACGTTGTGTCCTGCTCCGTTTGGAGAGCAGCAGCATGCGCCGCAGCCACACCATCACTATTGTCCTCACAGCCCGGGTGGCTCTGCAGCCTCGCCAATTCCTTCACGGCAGCGCGGCCGTCGGCGTTGCAGTGCCGCGTGAAGTGATCCGTCGACCCGCACCGGCCACAGGCGTCCACGGCTGAGGAAGCCGTGGCTCCCCCGCCCCTCCCCTGGCGCCCCTCTGCTGTCACTGCAGGTTCACCGGAAGAAATGGCGGCCCCTTCCGCAGGCGTGCGATGTCGCTTCTGCCGCAAAGGCTTTTTACCCGCGCGCTCGTGCGGTCTGTCAGTGTTTGCCTTGTTCTTGTGGAGGTGCTGCGGCAGCTGTCCACCGCAGCTGTAGATCTCCTCGAGTGCAATGGGACTCGGCAGCACATGAATTGGAGTGTCGCGAAACCGCAGCCGGTTGAGGTGCGCAATGCAGCTCGGCGTGGCGCCGCCCTTCGCGACAGTGTCAGCATTAGGGACATCAGTCCCACTTTTTTTTTCGGCAGCAGCGACATGAGCACGGAACAACTCCTCCAGCGTGCGATCCTCCTCCGCAATGTCCCCGCGGCTTGTGGCAATCGTGCTGCTATTCGTGTAGGGTGAGAGGGGCGCGGTTCCCAGGGCAAGCGCCACCGCCTCCGCGCATGCGTCATCCTGCAGCTCCACCAGCGCAAAGCGGCGCGACCCACATCCCGCAAAGACACTGCGGCGAACGCCGCCGTCAAAAACGACGTTCAGAAACGACTCGTCTGCCACAGTGGGCAGCGGGTAGACCATGAAGCAGCGCCGCGACATCGCACACGCCAGGCACTTGCCCCACGATGAAGCACCCACCTCGCTCCTCCTCGTACCTTCGGTCACCGCCGCGACGAGTAACACTGACAGCAGTTGCGTGGAGCAAAGAGAGAGAGGGAGAAAAAATATATATAACAATAATAATAATAAGATTGCGGAAGAAGTGCAGGCACCGCAGCGGAGCCAACGCCCAAAGAGAGGATGAGGCAGGACGACGACGAAACAAAATGAGGGTCCTTTTTTTTTTTCACGGCAGGAGAGGCCACCGGAAAAGGGAGAAAATAAAACCACCACACACACAGACGGGCGGATGAATGCACAGACACGCAACGCAAAAAAAAAAAAGTGTGCGGGGTCGTATGCGTCAAGGTGCAAGCAACACATGCAGCATTGCCCCGGCGCCGCCACCGCCACGACTAATCCCCCCACGTGGCGGGCAGAAGTGTGGCGAAAACAAACTGCCACACACACGGACACACAAACATAGATGGGCACAGGGCCACGTAGACACAATTTATTACAGTACATTACATTCATGCAAACAAAAAAAAGGTAAGGAAGAAGAAATAGGAACAAAGAAATAGAGAAGGTGGTAGGTGAGAAAGCAAAAAAAAGAAAGAGAAAAAAATTCGTCTGCAGTAATCCAATCATGAGGATGCACTGCAGCAATAAAATGATCTCACTTCACCGTCCACCTCCCTCTCTCTCTCTCTCTTTCCTTCCCGGCTCTTGAAGCAATGCAAACACAAAGAAAGAAAAAATGGGCAACTGGGAAAGAATAAGTTTACTGCTAAGATTAAATCCACCCCCATCCCACCACCAACCCCACCCACTCCTCCCCACGCCCGGCTTCTGATGGCATCTCCTTCACCACAAGTGAAAACGGTGTCGGCGTCACACACGTACACACACGTATGGGCCTACACGCACAAAGGAAAAAAAAAAATTTGTATCATTTACATACCAACAACCCTCCTACGATCCTCGACCTCTCTCTCTCTCCCTTCTCGATTTTTTTTTAAATTATTACTATTTTTTGATTTTATTTTATTATTTTTTTGATTCTGTTGGGTTGTTTGTGTTTCGTGTTTCTCTAGTTTTCTGGTTTTCTGTGTTTGTCACCCTCGTTTCTTCCAAAATCATACATCCTGTCATCCCCTACCGTTATTTTACACCCACGACTTAGAGAGTACCACGCGGGTCCCAAGACGTGGAAAAGTGGATGCGCTCTCCATCGACCCCTCCATGTTCGCCACACGCCTCTTTATGCAGATGTTGTAGAGCCGCATTGGCCCTCGCCCCTCCGCGCCAGTGGCAGACGCCGCGGTGAGGCGGGTGTGGCCGAGGCTTGGGGTACTAGAGCGCTTCTCAGACAGTGTGGTAGGGGGAAACGTCCTGCTGCCCGGGCACAAACGCTCAAACTCTCTCCAGTCAATGGGTATCTCCATCGTCCGCTCAAGCACGCGCTGATGTGCGCCCTCGCTGCGCATCCGCTGCATTGACGAGGTCCGCCGCGTCCGCTCCGCATGCACGGCCATGGCCAACTCCACGCATTGCGTCCTCGCAGCAAAGGACGAATCCACCTTGAGACTGTTGTGTTTCGCTGAGTCCAACCCCGACGCCGCCCTGAAGTCGTGCAACTTCAGCAAGGAAAAAGAGAAAGAGGATGGGCTCTTGAAAGAGCTGCTGCTAATTGTACTCTTTACGAGGGGCGTCGCCTCACCGTTGACTGCTCTCTCTGTGGGGTTCGCTTGCTCGCGGCATTGTGACATCTCCTCTGTGTTGGAAGTGACACCGTAGCAAAAGAGCACACTCGGCTCCGTCTGGGGAGCCCCGTTGTCGTCCAAAGCACCAGGAGGAGCAGCAGCGGCAGTGAAGGTAGAAGCCGTCGCAGCGGCAACACGCGTGTCTCGCGGCAGACAAAAGACGGCCTGGTCGTGAAAGTACGGGACCTCCGTCACTCGGCCGAGAATCGGCCCCGCGTGGCTGTTGTTGTTATTAAGCGTATTGGCGTAGCCTGTCAGGCGCAACGGTCTCTCGTGGGAGTCGCCGTGCGGGGCTGTGGAAGGGGTGCGTCGCCCGCTCCGCGGCATCTGCGACACCTGCGACAGGAGGAGAACCTTCTCGTGTCGTGACACATTCCGATGCGGGGGCACAACGTTAGCCGCGTTCCATAGCGGCGGGTCCGCCACAACCCCTCCCAGCTTCCCGCTTGCACTGGCCCCTCTAGAGAAGGCCTGACCAACGCCACACCGTGGCTGATGGCGCCACGCGGTGATGTGGTCACGCAGAAGTTGAATCTTCCCACGGCGGTACGCGCGGTGGTCGGGTGGCGGGAGATAAAAATCAAGCCGCCTTGCCGCGACGCTCTCAGGCCCCGTGACGGCGTTGCCGCCACAAGGCGCCATTGCACGGACCGCCCCGCTCGTTTTTTTTTTGCTTTTTTATCCGTTCTTATCTTTCGTTTTCCCTTCTTTATGTGTGTACGTTCCTGCCTTCCCCTCCGGTCGCACAAGTGTCAGAGTACCAGGCTTACACCCTGCACTGCGCCGGCGCCCGCAGCGAGAAGAAACCCCAAGAGAGAAAAACAAAAAACAAAAAACACGGGTAACAGTGCAACTTGCACGGCACCCACCCCCTCCCTCTTTGCACCTTCACCGCACAGGCTGTAGGCGTCCGTCGCTGCCGTGGTGGGGTAGAGAAGTCACACGTAAGGAGTGACGGCAAGCGGAAAGGCACAAGCACACCTCGGCGACAAGGGGAACACGGCAACAAAACAAAAATAAAACAAAAAAGCGAGGCGGCAACTCAGCCCTTAGCTCTCCCCTGGTGAATGCACTGACATTCATTTCTTGTTGACACGGAAGAGGCGAGGCGCCAACGCGGGAGCAAAGAGCAGGCCCAGCACGGAAGAAGAAGACACCCCACCCCACCTGCCGTTTCCCCTCCATCTTGCTTAATTGCACACACGCACACATTTACCTAAACTGCGTCTCAGGCGTGTAATTACCGCGCGTGTGCCGGGTGCCTCCACTGCTCACACGGTGCTTTCATTCCTGCCAGAAAACTTTTTTTTAAACAACATATATATATATATGTGTATATATATATCCCAGCTACGCACCCATCATTCACGCGCGTCATGGCGTGTGTACGAGTTGGTAGGCATTGGGGTACGGTACAGGCATACGTGGCACGCGCCTCTGCTTCCTTACCGTGCGGGTGGTATTGGAGGCAACTCCCGCGACATGGCAAGACAAAAGGCACCGCGTGTCATGTTAAACTTGCAAATCTCAGGCATATATATATATATATATACATATAAACATATATATATTATATATTATATGCACAAATACTGACTTTTTTTTTTTGCATGCATACATACTGTGTACATGTATACATACATCAGCAGACCACAGGGAGTAGTCTGTGCGAAACAACGACTTCGCAGAGGCGGAGAAAAGGGTTTGGGGTAAGATGAAAAATAAACGTAAACTTGTACAACAAAACACACATACACAACACAAATGTAAAATACAAAATGATGGTGTGTGTGGGAAGCCTGGAATTACGCAGCGGATCCCATGCCTCTCCCCCACTCACACCGTTAATTTCTGCAAACGGGCATTGCTTCAAAGCCTCCGTCCAGGATCATCCAGATGGCATCTAATGTACGATGATCCTCCTACTCTCCCGCACTCTCTGTGGCTCTACCCCACAGATACACACACCGATGCGGCCTTCCACTCCCCTACACGCCCTCTATTTCCCCCCTCTCTCCCTCCACATGTGCGGGCGTCACCGCTCCGTTTTCCCCTCCACTCACCCAGACACTTATTTGTTTTCTGTGGCTCGGTCATTTGCCCTCGCAGTCACGCCACATACTGGTGGACCTCTCAACACACGCAACGTATGCGTGCTTACGCGTACCATTCATCCCCTTGTGGAGACACCTCCCATCCCACCCCCACCTTCGCCGGTAATCCCCCCTGAAAGAGCTCCCCTGATGATACCAGCGTAGCACCGCTCCACCGCTCTTCATCGTATGACCCCAGTAGCCGTCAGCATGTCATTCTCGCAGCACCACACATCAAGAAGAACCCTCATGGTGCGCACGCAATCGCAGGAGTTTCACCCCGCGTTAAGAACGCGGGGCCGCCATCGACTCTGCCGCCGCGCGGTTAAACGCAGCTTCACGCAAAAAATACGGCCACGGGTAGCGCAAGGCGTTGGTATCCGTGCTCTGATGCTGGAAACGACGCGCCCGCGCCCCCTCTGTCAAGACAATGGCGGCGATGGAGGAGCGACGGGGGTGAACCAGTACGCAAACCCTGCGGGGAGTACAAAGCGGGAGTTGCACTTAGATCCGCTCAAGGGCGTCCAGATCAATGCAACTGCGGCCATTCTTCACAACATTCTTGACGGATGCCACGACACGAAGAGAACCGTTGCACTGCAGCTCCACGACGTCCCCGGTGTGCAGCCAGCCATCGCCATCCAACGCGCGAGATGTTTCCGCCGGGCGTGCGTAATACCCAGACATCAGCGTCGGCCCACGCAAGAGCACCTCACCACTCGGGCATGCGTTGCTGTGCCGCCACGGTCCCACGTCACGTAGCTTCAACTCCACTGCATCTAACAGACCACCAACGCAGTCGCGTTGGGTGTCCCACAAGTACTGCAGCGTGCCACACCCACCGCTTTCTGTCAGGCCGTACTGCTGCAACACAGATACGCCGCAGACAACCTCCAGAAACTCTTGTGTGTCCGCAGACAAGGGAGCGGCAGCAGAGATGACGGCGCGACAACGACCACCAAGCACCTTACGTGGCGTGCAGAACACGGTATTATTCAGAAAGGGCGTATCTAAGCAGCATCGAATGGCGCGGCGACGCTCCTCAAAGGCAACACGAAAAATCGTGCAAAGAAACCCCTTTGATGGCAGGGTGCGATCCAAGCACTGTCGCAGCTCATTGAGGACATACGGCACACTAACGAGCACCAACGGTTTGAACTCGCACAGGTCACCGTGTGGCAACACGGACACGGTTCCCTGCCGCTGGTACAGCGTGAACGGCGTGCCGTAGCAGATGAGATAGCCGCGGTGCAGAAACACATTCTCGGCGACAAACTCCATAATAAGAGCAAAGGGCAAATAACCGAGATAGCAAGGGCGCTGCTGTTCCTCATCACTGCGCGTAGAACCACCTTCTTCCTGGCTCAGGTGGGCGGCCACGGCTGAGAAGTCCGCATCAAACTTGGTGATGTTAAGGCGTTCCTGATACGCCGTGACCGCGGCCTTAAGTGCCCCGTGCGACAGCATGACCCCTTTTGAGTCACCGGCATTGTAGATCACCACAGCCAACTCCGTCGGCCCGGTTGGGAAGTTCAACACCGCACAGCTCCGCATCTCCGCCTCCACGTCCTCATCGTCCTCACCGTCGTCGTCGTCATCGCCTGTGCAGGGGTCAGGGCCGCCAGTCACATCGCCTCCTGCGGTAGAACTCAAACTTCGGTTGCACGATGCCCCGCCGCTGTCAGTCCTCCGCGGGAAAATTGAGACCCCACCACATGATGCGCGCTGCCTTTCCAGCGGCGCACTCGAGAAGTGAGCCGTGCTGCTGGCACTGTGACTGTGATCCCGCCCCAATGGCGGTGAAGATGGGGCGAATGGCGCCACGGCATCCTCACCGCCGTTTGCGTGAAGACGATCGGACTCCGCCTTGTGTCTCTCTTGCAGCTTGCGACAGGCCTCGCGAACCGCAAGGCATCGCTCCCACTCAGCCCTGCCAATCTTCAGCACTTCAGCCCAAGTGTGCACCACGGCGTCATGCACCTCCATCGTCTTGCTCCACTGCGCTGCCGCGCAGGAGGACATTGCCTCCTCCATGTCCGGAGGTCCCCCGGCATTGACGACCACAAAGGCAGGCATATGAGTTGCTCTCCTCGCAGCAAAAATGGCATGAAGCTGCGGTAGGAGGCTTCGCGTGCACACTACGACAGACAATTTGATCTCCGCCGCAACCTGCTCTGCAGTTACCTTGTCACCGTCAAAAAGAACACATACGAAGCGCTGCGACCAGACAGCGTAGCAAGTGGCCAGCCACTCCCAGCGGGTGCCCCCGCAGATACCAACCATTGCTCCGGGCGAGAGCCCCAATGCCCGCAATCCACACCCAAGAGCTACAACGCGCTCCCATAGTCGGGCATAGGTTCGGTAACTTGTGTGCCCCATCGTAATGCTCACGTGTTGCAACTCTCGAGAACCTCGTTCCCCGCCATCGTGGTCGCCTCCCCCATTGCGCGTGACGCGCACAGCCCCCACACAGCGCCACGCCACCGCCTGTTCGGTGCGTCGCCGCATGCACAGTGCGCGCAGGTCTCTCACCAGCGGGAAGAAGGAAGCCCCATCCTCGCACTGATACTTCCGCCGCAGAGCCTCATGACTAAGGTGCCGTGAGTGGGGCCCACAAAACACACAACTCTCCTGTATAGGAGCAGACGAATCAATTCCAGCATCACAATCACCCTCGTCACCATAGTCGTCATGGTCACTGCAACCGTCATAGAAATTGCGGTTGGCAACTGACCGCATCCCTGCTGGGAAGCACCTGCAATTGTTGTCACTATCGGGGCGGCGCAGGCCATGAGTTTCCCCACCGGCTTCTTTGTCTCCAGCTGCCTCAATGCTTTCTGGAGGGTGCACCGACTCCTCATCGACCGGCAGGGCGAATGTCCCATACCTACGTGTTTGAATGGCTAACTCATTCGGAACAAGCGAGTACTGGTGTTTCAGTCTCAATAACGTCACCAGGGCGTTCATGCGCAATTCGGCAGGTGACGTAAGTACGAACGGTTGCCTATTAATCTACACGAAATAAGCCGACGGCAAAAATAATAATAATAATGATTTTTAAAAAATGGGCGTCGATGATATGAACTACTCAGAGGAAACCCACGGCAGCAAGCAGGGCGGCAAGGGTGTTCTGCAGTGATGCACTGCGCCTACAGATGTCCTTCTATTCCCTTCCTCCTGCTCCGCTTCCTCCACTTCCCGTGGGTTCCGCTCCTTGACGGTATTGCGAAAATATCAGATCTTACAAATTCCGTTCCCTGCACGGCCTCCAGTACCACTGGCTGCAATGAAGAAGAAACAAACAAACAGAAAAAAAAAGGGGGGAAAGTGAAGGGGGGGCAGAGAAACGGGGTAAGGAGTAGAACCAAGACACAACGGCGGTGCAGTGTTCAGTCGCAGAGACTGCACGCCAAGAGCACATAACGGACGGTATTTGGGCAAATAAAAACGCTGTGGCAAAAGCAAAAAAAAAAAAAATGAAAGAGGAGCGAACCACAACAGCAACGAGAAAAACAAAAACAACAACAACAAGTACTGCAGCCAGCTCCATCTGGGAACCCCCTTCCATCCTGCACCCTCCACACGCGCCGCTATACTGATCACAGAGAGAAATAAACGATTCTCCCAAATAAATCAAAATAAAAATAAAAAACGGCCGCGGAGAATTGGCCTCCACGTCCCCACCCCCCACCCCTCCCTTGGCTGTCTTCTCCACCATACAAGCAGTTGCCATCTCTTCGCCTCAGATACGCATTTGATGTTGTCGTGCGGGTTTCGCGCCAGCGGCCGCAAGAGGAATACCCGCACAAAATAAGAAGTAATTCGAAATACAAAGAGTTTTTTTCTTTTGGTTTTGCTGTTTTTTGCCCCATCCCCCTACCACAGGCCAACGCCATGACGTGCACGCACTGCCCAGAGAGAGAGAGAGAGAGCGGTAGGGAGGGGAGTAAAGCCATGCAAACACATGTCCGTAAAAAAAAGAGTATTGAAAGGCCTACTTATTGCCCTCCCTTCTTCCTTCCCAACCCCCTCCATCGCCGCCACTGCTCCCACCCATTCATCCCACACAGCGGCAACAGGAGTCCCCGCGCCATTTTTGGTCTCGTGCTTTTACGGCTCATAACACCCACGCACAGCACAGTAAAAGAATGCCGCGCCCCGCACTGCTGTGTGACCTCGCACTTCTAATCGCCTTCATATACCACAATGCATCACATACACATACAAGAGAACGAAAACGAAAAAAAAAAAAGTGTACCGCCTCTACGGGTCCATAAAAAGCTCTTTAATAATATCGGCGTATCGCTTGTCAATTTCGCGGCGCTTTAGCTTACTCGCCGCGGTGAGAATCCCATTCTCAGGCGTCCATTCATCGTCAATAAAACGAACATGACGCACGCACTCCATGGGCTTACGATTCGCCTTCCGCGCCGTTGCCTGCATGGACTCCGTGGCCTTGCGCTGGAACTCCGGGTCACACAAAATATCAGGATAACTGCATTCAATACCCTGCTCCCTCGCAAAGCTCACCACCTTTGCCTCATCAGTCAGTACCAACGCACAAATGTACGAGCGAGCAGGATGGACAAGCACGCACACACCGTTTGGCATGCAAAGTACGTTCTGTGTGTACATCGACTCCAACGCCTCCATCGCAATGTACTCGCCCAGCACATTCTTCGCCAGCGCCTTCACACGGCCGATAATGCGGAGAGAACCATTCGCTGTGATGCTGCCCACGTCACCTGTGTGAAACCACCCATCCTCGTCGATGGCCTCCCGCGTAAGCTGCTCCTGCTTGTAGTACCCCTTGAAGAGAAACGGGCCACGCAGCAGAAGCTCCCCTCGTGGTTCCGGCGTGTCTGTGTGCTTGTACTCATCCACGTCGAGAAGCTTCAATTCCGCTGTAGGCTCCATCTGTCCCACCAACTCCGGTTCAATGTCGCCACGGCGCTGAATTCCGCCAACACACACCGTCTCTGTGAGGCCCCAGCCCTGAACCATCAACCCAAAGACGACATTGACAAACTCCTGTGTGGCCTCACTGAGTGGGGCACCACCAGAAAGTATCATACGCAGCTTGCGACCCAAAAAACCTCGTGGTTTGTCAAAAACCTTCTGATTCCAGTAAGGTGTGTCCTTCCCTTCCTTTAGAGCCTTTAAACGCGTTTGATAAGCGTGATCAAAGACGCTGCGCCTCACCGTGCCCTTGGGGGGTAGTTTTGCCTGAATAGTTTTCTTAAGTGTTTCAAAGATGCGTGGTACGCCAAGAAGAAACACAGGATTAAATTCCTCAAAGTCGCCGGTGGGACGGGCAGTGGTTACCGTTAATGTCCTCGGGGTACCAAAGCAGATCAAGGCCCCGCGTGCAAGAAAAATGTTCATGACACTGAACTCCATGATGTGGGCAAGTGGAAGATAGACGCAGTACGCCTCTCCCTCCTCGTAAGGGCCAACGTTATCCATCACGCGGTATGTCAACCCTCGCACGCCCGCTCCAAGCGAGCCGTGTGTGTGAATCACCCCCTTTGGATCCCCTGTGGTGCCGCTTGTGTACATAATCAACGCCAGTTTATCGTTGTCCGTTGGTATTCGTAGGGGAATACCCGCCGCGGCGCGGCGGCCCATCTCCACCACCTCGATCCAAGAGATAACACGGCAGCCCTTTGCATCAAACGATGCAGAAAGGGTGTCGTTGTAAATAATTGAAGCCATAGGGATTGTGCCTTCACTCATCAATTTAACAAGGAAGACAGCGTTCTTTGAGTTACATACAATCGCACTGCACACCGTCTCCCGAATTGCGTACGCCAAGGCGTCCTCACCCAGCGTGGCGTACACCGTGCAGGCCACCATGCTCTGGGACCAAATACCGTAAATCGTCGCCAGCCACTCCCAACGTGTCTCCTCATAAATGGCAATGTTGGCGTTCGGCTGAATCCCGAGCTCCACCAGGCCACGCCCAAACGCCGTAATATATCCCCAAAGCGTATCAAAGTTAATGTACTGGGTCTTCTTCAGGTAGGTGACATCAATGACCTTCTCTTTGCCTGTAATGGCGTCCGTCGTCGTCTCCTTCTCTACGCGATCAACAGGACGATATGCAAGCACACGTCGTTTGGGGTCACGGAGGCATAACTCCTCAAGCTGTCGCATGAGGTTTGGGCCGTTGTACGCCTCTTCTGAAAGTTGCTTGTGCTGCGCATCGTCGTACCCAGTAATGCGGTAGATGGCTGACGCGTTGGATCTCTCAGTGCCTGGGATGGGGACGTTCAACGTGCCGAGCTGACGGTACTCCATCACTTCCTTGTACGTGACGATGGAGAGGCGATTCCTTGCGTCCAACACCGACACAACGCAGCCCCCCATTTCGCTTACCTCCTGCCCGCCTGTGTGTCTTTCCTCTCCTATTTTTTGTTGGTTTTTCAACGTTAACGAATTCCCCCTTCTCGCCTCCCTGAGTCCCCCACCTGTCCCTACAGCTGCGACTGCAGCTAGTGGTGGTGGCGATGGTGAAGTTTTGCCTCCTGACGCAGGTGCAGGTATTCCTTGCGGTGGTGCTGCTGCCACGTGAACGTTAGCACCTCCCAAACCCCGTCAGCCTCTGTGTCTCGTCGTACCTGTGCCTCGCTCCCCTCGGTGAGACGGATGTATACAAAGAGGATATGTCAAGCGGCGCACCTAGGCACACGTATTGCGGTGAATGTTGATGTTTATTCCTACTGAAAAAAATACCCACAAAAAAAAAAAACGAGCAGCATGTCGGCGCCCACGTCCAGAAAGTACACGGTGGAGATATACATACGCGCCCACACCTACACCACGGCGGGGCCGGGCGTCCGCAAGGATGTAGATGTCGCCAAACATAAAAAAAAAAACAAGCAAACAAACAAACAAACACAAAAAAAAAAAGCGCACGTGACGCTTTGGTGGAATAGGAATAATGCCCTCCACACTTTACTTTACCCTGCCCACTCCATCCGCCCCATCCTCATTCCGGTAGATCTCACAAAACCCACATGTACACCCGCACGCATGGCCGGGTGACGGGGTGAGTGAGGGAGTGGGTGTGTGCAGCAGTACCGCCACCGGCATCCCCTCTATTTCCCCTCCCCTTGGTCTGCACCTCATCCCGAGCCACCGTGCGGCAAGGCGAGGTGCGCTCCAACTCGCAGCAGACAGTACCAGTCACAAAAAAAAAAAAAATACAACCAATGATGGAAGTGGAAGAATGAGGCAGATGAAAATACGACCCCTACAAGGCTCCCAAAGCATCACCTCCACCAGTGTGAGGGTTCCGTGACAGGCACACGCAGTAGGAAGAGGAAGCCACCGCCTGCAAGGGCAACAAAAAACAAAACAAAAAATTGAGAGTAAAAAGAATGAGGTGTCTTGTATGTGCAGGCCCAATGCCGACGAAGTGCCCACCCCGCGACCAGCACAAGACAAACCGCATTGACGACCCCAGGCCTTGGACCTGAAGACGCAACTTTGCAGGAGGAAGGTAGAAAAAATGAGATTATGCAATCAACAACAAAAAAAAAAAAGCGCGACAACAAAAAACAAAAACCAAATGGAAGAAATATAACAATGAAGATGGAGGCGTGGAAAGAACACACGGCGCCGAAACAGCATTAAAAAAGAGAGGTTCATCAAATGGTACGGGCCGCATACGATGCGCCATTCCAGCCCCACTCCCAAAAACGTTGTGGCGGCCCGTCGTTCAGGCTGCATGCCAAAGATCAAGCTTAACTGTCAGATATCCAAAAAAAAAGAAAATTATTATTTCCCTTAAAACTCCGCTCCTCTCATCAAGTTGCATTCATTACATTGCTATTACCATACTGGCCACTCACGTTTGGTCGCTAAGACTCCTCCACAAAAAGTAACTGAATGACGTCAGCGTATCGCTTGTCAATTTCGCGGCGCTTTAGCTTACCGGCCGCGGTGAGAATCCCATTCTCAGGCGTCCATTCATCGTCAATAAAACGAACATGACGCACACACTCGAACTTCTGCCGATTCGCCTTCCGCGCCGTTGCCTGCATGGATTCCGTGGCCTTGCGCTGGAACTCCGGGTCACACAAAATATCAGGATAACTGCATTCAATACCCTGCTCCCTCGCAAAGTTCACCACCTTTGCCTCATCAGTCAGTACCAACGCACAAATGTACGAGCGAGCAGGATGGACAAGCACGCACACACCGTTTGGCATGCAAAGTACGTTGTGTGCGTACATCGACTCCAACGCCTCC